CAGTCGGCTGTTTGCTTGATAGCTGTTCCTTTTTTAAATTTAATACATGCACATTATATTTTACTTCAGAAAAATAAATGAATAAACAAAGTACAAGTTCTGTCTCTTGTATTAAAAAAGTCTTATTATAATGTGAGATGTATCAGGGTGTCCATAAGCAAGCCTGGTGCATCCCATAGAACCTAGGCTCACAAAAACATGTTTTTTACTTGATATTTTAAAATGACTGGCATAAATTACATTCTACCCACAATTTGCATTTTATAATTTCTAATTTGAAAACTGATCACAACTTGTGCTAGAAGCCACCATAAATCTTTTTGGACTCTTTCAACCTTGAAGTCATTTTAAAGAGGACCTTTTTCAAAGCCTATAAGTTTGGTTGTGGACCAGCCTGGTGGTGAGGAAAAAGCCTGCCATATCAAGGTCAGACCACTCCTGAAAAATTTCTGAGGATTTTTCGACTATTTGGCTTTGATCCTGGATCCATCAGAGCCGTATGCTGACAACTTTTGACAAATCTGTCTGCCCTGATTATTTCAGGTAACTGATGTTCTACTGTATATGAAAACTTTGCTAGTTTATTTTAGGTTTCATCAGCTTTTTAAAATTACCAAATACAGTCACTCTCAATAAGAGCAAACTGTACTCTCACTTGTACTGTACTGTAAAGTGACTCTCACTTCCATTCTTTAAGTCAAATATTTTTCTAAGTAATAACAGACACAGAACCAACTTTCAGTACATTTAATACAAAAAAAATGAACTCTGCACAAATGTTTTTCAACTTCTTCAGAGTTCTTCTTCAGGTGTGACAGAACTCAGAAGGAGTTGGATAACATTTGTGCAGTGTTTTTTTTTTGTATTAAATGCACCTGAAGTTGGTTCTGTCTCTGTTGTTTCATGTATTCCAGTGTAGAGTGGTGTATATATTTTTCTACGTTGACTTTTTTTATAATCTTATTTTAATTCCAATGTAACTCTTCTAAACTCAATACAATTTGTGTGTCCAAATCAAAATGGTTTGAAGACATTTCTTTCTAACTCTAAATCTAGAATTCCAGTAAATTTATTATCTGTCTTATTTTGTATAGTATACTTCTGGTTGTGTTCTCAAGGGACAAATTATATTAAGATAAGTTTAAAATAAAAGCAAATATTAAAAACCCAGCAACAATTTGCTTAATTTTCTCGATAACATTTAAAACTGCATTTACACTATCTGTAATGATATTTTATTTAAAAAACTTATAATATTAATTAATTATTATAAAATTGCAAAAAGCTTAATTTTGAGAGTATGGACAAGTTTTATAAAAAAAAAAAAAAATTGTAAATGCAAATAACGAGTAAAATTGTCATTAAGTTTGACCCTATTCAAGATACAACACACAACTCCCCTGCATCTCCCCACCCTCTCAACCTTTAACCACCAAAATTTAACAGCATCAATATCCCAAATAAATAAACCATCCTGCAAAATTTCAGAAATTTTCAACAAAAAGAACAAGAGTTATTAAGCTTCAAAGAGGGTGAAGAAAATCATATCCCCACAAACACACAGGAAAAAACCTCCAATTTTTTTTTTTTTTTTTTTGCATTTCTCAAAGTTTCAAGGTACCGAGTCCAAAAAATGTAAAAATCTTGGGAAGTCATTTTCTAACTTATTGCCATACTTTCCTTCTGTTATATATAAATTATATAGAAAGTATAAATTTATACCTTACATATACAAGTATATAAAGTGAATTGATTGGTTAGTGTATCAAACTACAAAATACAAAATCTAATGATATTTTCCATCTAAAATAAATATTTTATTTTTAAATGCAAATTGGACAAACAAATCTTACAGATGGTGTTCTCTTTTTAAATTTTCAAAATCATTTTGAAAACTTTAAAATGCAGTTATTTTAATCAGAATTTTCATCTGAATGTACAGTACTAATCATATTCAACAAGACTGGGTTGATCTCATTAGTGCAACATACATGAAAAACTGTTAATCAAAGATTTTGTTAACTCTTTAAACACTGAAAATTTCTTCTTCCTATGTACTGTACATGGATATGAAATTGTTTTACCCCTCAGTCTAGTGATTAATGGTGAAAAATTTGTAAAGCAAAACCAGTCATACAACTTTACATTTAGCAAATTTCATTTTGAATGGATTAAGGCAGTTTTGTCTGATCTCATGTTTAAAGAGTTAATGCTGACAATGACATAGCCATCAGTAAACACTTATCTAAAACATGACAAAGTGAAATAAAAAAAAGTGAAAATTATGAGGAATAAATAAATCTTGCTAATGGTAAAATCCCTCTCCTTCCACATGTAAAGAAGGTAGAATTCTTGAGATTTTATGGAGTTTACTAGAGGCCATGCCATATACAAAAGAAAATGTTCTCGTAGCAGTCCAGTGTAAAGGACATGATCAAGCAGAAAGCAATAGATCAAGGATGTCAACTCAAATGACAGACTTCTTTTACTAACAGTATAGATATTTTTTTTGTTTTGTATAAGTTCATAACCTATGAAATAATCAAAATGGAGCATATTCAAGTGTAATTGTGATTCTATTTTCAAATTATTTTGTCTATTGTCAAAACATTAATTAATAAACAATTTTAACAATATTAAAATAATAATAATACCAAAAACCAAGCTTCTGTGCTTATGATCATAGGTTCATATCCAACACTTGAATTTGTGCACCAGTGAGGAATAGGTTGTAGATAAGTGTCCATATGGGTATTAAATGTTGCTCCTAAGTTGATAGCTGCTTGTATAGGCTGTAAGTAAAGAATTGTGTTAAATTTTCTAATTACAAATTGATGATTATGATTATACTCATAAAATTATTATATTATATTACAGAATGAAATCCTATGTTTAAATAATTTGTACAGTTCCATTCAATTTTATAATATTAATGAAAATANATCTATCCTAAATATATATAATATAGGGTAGATACATAAATAATAGTTTGTATATATACTTAATTTAAAATCATCACAGCAGTTTTTTCCATCACAATAAAAAAATAATAATAAAAATAGTAGCACCAAAATTTTTATGAATAGTCTATATTGTAGAGTGACCAGAAATTGTCAGTTTTGCCTGTTTTTAATATTTGATTGTAAAATCAACCTTTGAATACAGTAATTTTATTAATGCATTACTAAAATGTCATCAATCTATAGATCAATAAATAAAAAAATTTTGAAAAATAACCAAATCACAATCAGTTTTATATCCCATTTTCACTGATTCTAAAATGTATCCCCATTGGATTGTAAATATTGGGATTAAGGGGCAAAGCTTGTGGAGTAAATGAACATAGAGGTCTCTCTAGATCAGGGGTCGCCAAACTTTTTTAACCGTTGACCCCCAACCACTTTCGAAAACCTCACATTGACCCCCACCATAAAGTTTTATTACAAGTGTATGTGTATGAGCAAAAAAAAAGAAATAAAAAAGGTTGTGACCCTTTAGCTGCATCAACCCCCAATGATGTTGCATTGACCCCTGGGGGTCGATATCGACCACTTTGGCGACCCCTGCTCTATATTATAAAAATTTATTGGTGTAGAATTTGAAATTTTTTAAGTGTAAAAATATGATTGAAAATATCATTTTTGAGATTATATTGATTTTACACCTATAGACAGACAGTCACACTTGAATCTAACAAATTCATATTTTGGAAAGTTTGATTCATTCAACATCACTATGGGCTAACCATTAATTGTGTTCATATAAAATGAATAAATTTCCTTGACAGATAAAATGACATTAAGAGAAACAAAAAACCTTAATTTACTACTAATTCTTGTATTTTTAATTAACTAGCATGCTTTTAATAATTACTAAATACTTTAATATTCAAGAAAGCAATACAGAAATAAAACCAATGGTTTGTTTATACAGATACATAAAATGCTATAAAATTTATGCCAAATATAAACATTATTAATGATATAATTAAATAACTATAAAAAGACAGGATTAATTCTCAGTATTTATAATATATTCTATTGTACAAAAATGAACAGGGTAGAAAAATTAGATGTTAGATAAAACAGATACAGATTTAATAAATTTACATTAATAACTAATTTTTTGTTGAAAAATATATGGTATATAAACAGAAACAAGATAGTTTGATGGGCTTGTTAAGTTCAACTGGCTATTTAAACTAATTGATAGTGCATTGCTTATCAATCAGTTGAGATAATAGTTTAGAAAATTTAGAAGATACTAAGTTTGTTTACAAATGACATACATTTATTATTTGATAATATAATAATAATCCCACATTTAAAACTTTGAAATACAGGTAATTTAATTAAACAATTTAACAATGTGAAACTAAATTAAATTATTAAATTTATGAATGTGTCACTTAAAGAATTTGCTAATTGAGCTGCAATTTGAAAATTGCAGACCTAAAAATTCCCACTGTTGTCTGGCTGTCCATCCATCCATTATTCATTAATCTCAAAAACAGAGTTAGATAGATGAAAATCAAGACCAGATATAGAAAATTTACAGGGCCAGAGGCACTGATTAACTAAGTATGAACTTCTGATCTGAACCAGAAGTCATATGACTTTTTAAATTAAAACACAGTATTAAAAATTGCAGCCAGGCATTGTGACAATATCACAATAATTAATTCTTCTTTAAATTTCTTTTCTTTACATTCTAAAATTAATTAAATGGTATTTTATATTACTTATTCAAGCATTCGTATATTTGTCCTGAATAAGTCTGAATGAATAAATATTAAATATGAATAAATTCTCAAATAAGTATAAATTTAATAATTAATGTTAGTAGAAAAAAATCAATTAAAGGAAGTAAACAGTAAAATATTTATTTAACTTTTATAAAATTTACATTTAATATTATCACTACACTACATAAATTAAACAGATTACAGTCATTTTTAAAATTGAATCTTAAAAATTATATAGTACATTTAAGTCACTAAACCTTCAGTCATATTTTGAACCTTATTCATAACTTTATTTAAAATTATGTTTAACTGAATTTTCAGAGTGCAAATTAGTTTCATTAGTTTTTACTGATGCTGATGTTAATGTCAATGTTGATGATAATGTTGCCAATCCTGATTTTGTTGTTATTTCAGTAAATGTTGTATTATCTTCCCTTGGTGATGTAGTTTGTGGAACATTTGGATCCAAACAAAATTCAGTCAGAGGTATATCATTACTTTCTCCAATTTCCCATTTCAAAAAGTCAGGTGAAAAATGTTGTCTTGGATTGGGTGGAATCTAGAAAAAAATTTTTATAAAAAAGCAAAAGAAAAGAAAAATTGAAAATCTGATTCTCTTCATAAATAAACATAACAATACATTAAAATAAAAATAAAAAAAAGAACTATTTAATGGTAAGGAAATCAACTTGAAAAAAATAGCAATAAACGTTTTTGATGCTTATTTGATCTTAGCATCATTCAAAATCCATTTCAATGTTTTAGAATACACTGGATGATCGGTTAACGAACAGTTTGGATAGCGAACAAATCGGATAACGAACACTTTAGTGAAAGATTTTTATGATTGGACAACGAACACTTTACTGAACAAATATAAAAAGAAGCAACAGAAAATAACAAATACCAATTGATTTTCTTTTGTCTTCAGTTATAATTTGAAACCTTTCAGAGCGTGGGAGACATCAACATCAACACTCAACATCGACACTCAACCAGATACACCGATCAGATAGTATTCATCCAAATTTTGAAACTCTCCCTTGTAATTCCAGTTTTTTGTTTACCTTTCTGACAAATAATTTTTTATATTCTTCACGAGACAGTCGGATGGACACTTGTTAAGTTTTGCATTTTCAGAGTTTATTTACGAAAGGTGAAAGTTTAACTGTCCCATCAAATATTTGTTAATGTTTTAATACCAAATTTCAAATTTCATCTGGGCCTTGCATTTAAATAATTTTTTGTGGGCTAGTTGATTTCTGTTCTCTGAATTTTTGTAAGTGCTTTTCCGAATTTTTTATTTAAAAAAAAAACTGATAATATTATCAGTTTTTTTTTTAGCCTAAAAAGCCAAAAAAGAGGAGCCTAAAAAGAGGAGTCTCAAGAACTGTGCTCACCATAAAAACCAAGTAAGAGATAATAGCCAAGGTAGAAAATGGGCACAAGATGTCTGATGTTGCTAGGCAGTACGACTTGAACTAGTCTACAGTAGGCACAATCTTAGCTATGAAAGATATATCAAGAAGTCTCAAGCTGCTAATGGAGTAATGAAAATCGCATCTGAGAAATAACTGAGAAATATGAAAGATATATCAAGAAGTCTCAAGCTGCTAATGGAGTAATGAAAATCACATCTGAGAAATAAAGAACATTTTAGAGCTCATAATGGAACCTGAAACTGATCTAACAACAAAAAAACTCCAAATGTTGACATCTGCTACTAAAGATCTTTTGAAGAAGTGGGATGTCAGAACAACAATCATCCAAGTGGCATCCAAACCAGAATAAGGTTAATGGGGTTGGGGATCTCTACAATTACAATACTATTAATTATTTCCGAAAAACTCCAGAAGAAAAGAGAAAAGCAATTGACATTGGACAGATTCTTTAACCCTCGCAAACGGAAAAAACATGACTAATAAAAATGCAAGACTGTATATATATGTAATTTTACTATTACATATAAATAAATGTAGTAAAAAAGTATATGTTTTTATTTTTCGGACTCTCCGGAATGAATTAATCAAATTCCCATGAAAACCTATGATAAATCGATAATCAGTTAACAAATAATTCGGATAACGAACAAAGTCTTGGAACGGATTATGTTCATTAACCGATCACCCACTGTATTTGATTATAGAACTTCATTTAAACAGAACTAATTGTCTTACTTTTGGCATTAAAATTTTAAAATTTAAAAGGCTTTCCAAAATTTAACCAAATTAACCAAACATTTTAGCCAAACATTCTAAAATGTTTATACGAATTTTTTGAATGATCTAATCTAAAACTGAATAAATGTTACATTCATAAAATAAATTATTATCTTGATTGTTACAAATATCACAGATACTTTATTAATATGTACAAAACATTACATTAAAAAATGTGTAAGCAACAAATATGTTTCTTGGTCTACACATGATCACAGACTGAGACAAAGCTAATCAAGTGATATCGCAGTACAGAGAGCCTGATGAGATCAAGGGGAATGTTAATCACGGAAGCCATATGGCATCGGTCTACATATATAACATGTCTCAAAGATATTTTACATGGTTTTCGATTGATTTCTTAGCTAATAAACTGTTTCTTATTTTGATTTTTAATCATAATTATTAAAAGTCATTGCATGATATCTAATTTTATAGAAGAATGAAATTTAGAACAGATTCACTAATAATCACATTAAAGAAATATTGTTAAGACAAAAATATTCAAAATCAATTTTGTATGTAATATACAGTAAAGCCTGTGTAAATTGGAATCACAGAGCACCAAATATTTTTTCTGGTATGGCAGGTTTTTGTTTTAAACAGTTTTTTAACATAGTTTAACTGCTATGTACTGAAGAATTTTTCCCATTTGGACAGATTTTACTGTATTTTTAAAATTGGACAGCAAACAGATAAATAAAAGTTTTACCTTTAATTTTGTATGCTCCCTAAAAATTCAGATACAAGTTCGTATCGCTAGAGATGAGAGATAAATCTCTAAACTGTTTTAAATATCTATTATCTTCTTTGAGTGAAGTTGTGCTTATATTAATGAATTAATTAAAAATATATTGTTGAGAATTGTTAAACAGCCAAAATAACTTATTTTAAAAAACAAGTCTAAGATATATATAGTGAATTCTTTGATACGGTAACAAACTGATACAGTGAATGATTTTGTTGGTCCTTACTATTCATTGCGTATATAATGAACTCTTGATACAGTAAATTATTTAGCTCTAAGTTCTCCATATCGAAATTCCACCGTATTTGATATTTCTTAAGCCATTATTCAAAATTTTACTATTTCTAAATTTATTTTTAATACATAAAAGTTCTTAATTGTACATATATACAAGATAATTTTGCAAAAGGAAAAAAAAAATTAAATTGAAAATTCCTCTCAAGAAAACGGATTATTACGGATTATTGAAAAAGTTACTGTCAAAATGTCCGAACTATTGTTAAAAATATAGAACAAGGTAATGTGAGGCACGAATACTTTAGTTGTATAAAAATAATTTGATAATCGTTTTATATTTATAGACTATATTTAAAGTTAGCGTAAATTGTTTTAGCGCACTTAAACTTATCTATTTAATTGTATTTAAATTTCTACTGTTATTGTGTTTGTTAAGTACACTCTTTCGGAGATGGATTCAGTATCGTTATATCCTTATGGTATTTTTATTAAAGTATATTGATTTTGTCAAGAGGAAAAGAACTTAATTAAATCTAAGACCGTCTAATCACATAATCGATACTCATTCATAACAGATAATACTTTACATCTAGAATATATATTTAATCGAAAATCAAATATTGAACAAACATCTAGCGACTATCAATAATTCCAAGAAACGAAAAAAAATATTTTTATTAATTTCTTGATTCAACATTGGCGAATTAAACAAAATGAAGAAATTCGAGAACAGAAATATGATATGCTAATACATAAAGTAATGAAAATTTTTATCTAATTTGAACAGAGTGCGAAGCTGAGATAATGGAACCAAGTGATTAGGCTCGGATACCGGATACAAAAGAGCCGCAAAATTTTGTTTTATATAGAAAGCTGATGCGAAAGTAATTAGTTTTTTTTTATGGTGAAAAAAACAGGTTTCATTTGTTTTATTCATTTTATTCATATATTTTTATAGTTTTTCGAAAGAGAAACGATCCACAGTGATTTGTTCGGACCTATTCTACGTTTTTTTAAATTTCAATACATAGTATTAGACTTCTAAATTTATCCTCAAAATTTCTGTACTTTATCTAAAAAGCGATTTTCGGCATATTTCACAAACTTCAACATCGTAACAGAGGCCTACTTAATTCGTTTTAAAATCAATAAAAAACAAAGGAGGATCATATTTTTAGAAATCGGTCCAATAATTAATATATTATTAATATTTGACTGAAAAATACTGATTTTAAACCACATCATCAGAACTAAAATTTCTTAAAAATTAAAGAAAAATCGAATATTTCAAATTTTTCACGGCTTTCTACATGAAAATACCTATTATTATAAAAATTGAATAAAATATTATTGAAACTGTAAAAATTTTCATTTTTCAGCAAAAAACTTAAAATTCTGTGTGTCACTATCTGTTATGATATTTTAAAAACTTCTTATTTATATTAATTATTATAAACTGGCGAAAAACTTAATTTTGAGGGTAGAGATGAATTTTTAAAAAAATGTAAATGCTAATAGTAAATAAAATTTCCATTAAGACCGTTTCCACTCGAGATATGACACGCTCCCTCTATTTCCCCATCCTATTAACATTTAACCAACAAAATTTAATAGCATCAATCCCCAAATACCCAAACTTCTACGCATAATTTCAGAAATTTTTGACGAAAGACGCAGCAGTTACTAAGCTTCAAAGTGGGTGAAAAAATCGTGCCCCTTAATATACATACACACAAAAATCCTTACATACAGAAAAACGTTCATTTTTTTCTTACGTTTCTCGAAATTCAAGGTCCTGAGTCCAAAAATATAAATATCTTGGGAGGGTCAATTTTTGACCGCGTATCATACTTTCCCTCTGTTATGTATGTACAAAAAGTAAAATTAATGGTTAATTTTTGAAGTTTTAANTTACTATTGTACTAGAATTAAAATTAATATTTTTACTTTACTTAAAGCTATTTATCTTTTTATTCTTTTCCTACAAAGTATGATTGATTATCTGAAAAAATTAATTATCCAGAAATATACTGCCCTCAGTGGTGTACTGGTCAACCAGAAAATTGGGAATTTCCAGTCGGCTGTTTGCTTGATAGCTGTTCCTTTTTTAAATTTAATACATGCACATTATATTTTACTTCAGAAAAATAAATGAATAAACAAAGTACAAGTTCTGTCTCTTGTATTAAAAAAGTCTTATTATAATGTGAGATGTATCAGGGTGTCCATAAGCAAGCCTGGTGCATCCCATAGAACCTAGGCTCACAAAAACATGTTTTTTACTTGATATTTTAAAATGACTGGCATAAATTACATTCTACCCACAATTTGCATTTTATAATTTCTAATTTGAAA